AGGTCAGTGGGAGTGATATTGCATTCCTAGTCCTGTATCTCGATGACATACTTTGCATTGGAAACAACACAAAATTATTGGAGTCCGTAAAAGGCTGGTTAGGAAAGTGCTTTCCAATGAAGGACTTAGCAGAGGCACAGTACATATTGGAAATCAAGATCTACAGAGATAGATCTAAAAGGATGATTGGATTAAGCCAGAATACTTACATTGATAAGGTACTGGCTCGATTCAACATGGAGAATGACAAGAGAGGGCATTTACCCATGTCCCATGGCATAACTCTCAGCAAGAAACAGTGTCCACAGACACCTGTTGAGCGAGAAAGAATGAATCAGATCCCATATGCTTCGCTGATCGGATCGATCATGTATTCCATAATATGTACAAGGCCAGATGTATCGTATGCCTTGAGTGCAACGAGCCGATACCAATCGAACCCAGGAGAGGCGCATTGGACTGCGGCCAAGAATATCCTAAAGTACCTGAAAAGGAACAAGGATAAGTTCTTAGTGTATGGAGGCCACAAAGAACTGGTTGTTGAAGGTTACACCGACGCTAGCTTCTAGACTGACAGAGACGACTTCAAGTCACAGTCGGGGTACATATTCTGTCTGAATGGAGGAGCGATCAGCTGGAAGAGTGCCAAGCAGAGCACCACTGCAGACTCTACAACTGAAGCTGAGTACTAGGCCGCTTCGGAAGCTGCCAAGGAAGCTGTTTGGATTCGTAAGTTCATTAGTAAACTTGGTGTTGTACCCTCAATCAAGGGGGCGATATACCTCTATTGTGATAACAATGGAGTTATCGATCAAGCCAGGGAGCCGAGAGAACAACAGAAGGTCAAACACGTGCAAAGGCGATTTCACATGATAAGGGAATTGAAATCCGAAGATGAAATCAGAATTTGTAAGATTGGCACAGATGATAATGTGGCCGATCCCTTGACTAAACCGCTGCCTCAGGTGAAACACAACAAACACATTGAGGCGATGGGAATCAAGCATGTTGGAAACTGGCTTTGAAATTTCCTGTACATGTGTTTTAATTATACTGGTAGTTTTAATGTAAGACACTGTATTGAAACCATTCATTTATGGAGTAATTAATTTTTGTGCAAAATTATCATTCACTCCATTACTATTTAATTGTGGTTTAGAATTAAATAATAAGTCCATTCGATTTACGGAAATATTCAAAACAGGGTATCAAGACCATGTCTTGGATAAAGAAACACCTGTTAAGTGAACATTGAATATTTAAATCGAAAATTTTCCCTAATCAAGGTCATCAACAGATGGACGATTGATGACCGCCATAGATTAGCGTGTAGTATGATTTACAACACCGTTTCTTGTGCTGCGAGGACGTGACAGTCATAAATTATTTGCACAGGTACAGTTTGGAACTGTACTGGATAAGACCTATGAGATTACTTTAAGAAAATTCAGAATAGTCATAAGTACATTTCTCATTATGACTATCGGAACCTGTTTCCTCCGACCATGAGTATTGTGAAGTTTTCTTGTTTGAGTACTAGACTCTTTGATGTTTCCTAACGTCTGTCGTAACTGGGGATCATAACGGGAACACTCGGAAAACTAAGTCCTCTTAGTAAGATGAACTTACAATGAAAGACTGGGATTGTCCCCTTATTAACAATAGGGAAAATGTTTTGTTCTTTACAAGGCCCCTCGAAGAGCGAGACTGTGAAAATGCATGGTCGTGCTCAGGTGGATTTTAGAAATCATCTGCTTATTGACAGTCGAACTCGGAGATCGAGAAACACTTCTGAACGTAATAAGGATGACAATGAATCTTACCTTATTGTTCACGAAGAAACATTAAGAGACATAGGAAATGGGCTATACACTGTATGCACACTTGTCCGGAAGGATAAGTGGGAGATTGAAAGGAATGGTGTCATTCCAACAAGTGTATTCTTCCAATAGAGGGTTCAGAATTATTACAGAGTTAATTCTTTAGTAAGATCAAGTGATCGGAATGCCTAGGTGGAGGCCGCTTCCGATCAGTAATATCGAGGTACAATTGATATTACAACTTAATCTTAACTGAACCCTTTGAGTCGAACCCAATCGAATCACCGATCTGAGACGACGAATTAATCCGAAAGGATTTAATGAGTCGATAGAGTTTTACGAATACAGACATCGGATATCGAGCCTAGGGCGTCGAGACCGAGCGTCGTAAAATCACAAAGCGACAAGTATAAAAATAGCCCTAGCACCAAACTGGCCTAGCCATGTGGATGCTAGGCTAGTTCGAGCTAGCATGCACCTAGCATGGCTAGGCGCAAGCCTAAGCACACTAGGTGTGCTAGGCGCACCATCGCGCACCATCGCAACACAGCAGGGCCACACACGCACCAAGCACAGCCATCGCAGTGCTAGGCACTGGCGCATGTGCATGTGTGTGTGTGCGTGCCTCGCACCAAGCATAGCAGTGCTAGGCACTAGCTGATGTGTGCTAGTGCAAGGATGCTTGGCAGCATCTCCCAGCATGCATGCTAGGCCTTGCGTGCGTAGGCTCGCTGGCTGGGCTAGCAATGGCGTGAGGCTGGTGCGTGGTGTGTGGTGCGATGCATGCTGTGCGTGACTAGTGTGCATGGTCCATGGCTAGTGCATGTGCTGCGAGGCTGATGCGCATGGTACGAGGCAAAGGGGGCCAGCATGCGTGGCTCGCTAGCAGCACGCATGCTGGCTATGCTAGCAATGGTGTGCGAGAGGTACTGCGAGATATGCGAAGGCCAGCACCAGCGCCTAGCACTGGCTAGCACCAGCGCATAGCATCGCCCAGCACCAAGCATGCACTGCCTGGCTGGGATGCGAGGTTGGTGGGCAGGCTGGTGCTAGCTGGCTAGGCTGGCTGGCACTGCTAGCTGGCGTGCTAGTTGGCAATAGCCCAGCAGCCCTTTTTTGAGCCAGTTTTGCATGTGGGGACCATTGCTTGAAGCAATGACTTGGGGATCAAGGCAATGGTCCCCCCCAAGCCTTTGGTCCTCACTTGGCTTTCTCTATTAATATGCCATGTGTCGATTTATGATTGAATTGATTAATCATTTAATTTTGGAATTAAATAATTATCATTTCACCAACTCTCCCACATTGATGGGAGATTGAAAACCAAGGATTCATTTCGTTATAAATACCCTTCAAGGGTGGTTAGAAATGAACAACCTTGAGTGGAATTAAAAAGGCAACTCTTATAATTAGAGTAAAACTTTGATTCGTAAAACTCATAGTTTTGTTTTGTCCGGGTCTTGACTAACCTTCAAGACTTAGGACGCTCGGGTCGGGTCGAGGGTACGATCCGTCGGAGATCTCGTAGTTTCGGGATTTTGAAGTAAGAGCTCTTCGGGAGCGAAGCACGCAACAAAGGTATAATTCTTGTTCTTAGTATTGTTTGATTAAGTTTATTATGCTTGTTAATTGCTTTAATTAAGGGGCGGGTCTTGGGGGGTTTCCTTCCGCGTAGTGTCGGGTCACTACGAAACCCTACACCGACTTCATTATTGAAATGACAAAATCGGCTGAGCTGGAGAATCTTAACCAGGTTTGGAAAGTATACATAGATGGGAGCTTTACTATGAACGGATGTGGTGCAAGCATTATATGCCAGTCTCTTGAAGGGGACAAGTATGAATATGCACTACGGTTCAAGTTTCAAGCCTTAAATAATGAGGCAGAATCTGAAGCCCTACTAACCGGTATCCGCATGTGTAAGGCGACATGGGCAAGAAAAAATGACGCCTGCTCTGATTCACGACTGATCGTTAGCCAATACCATGGTGACTATGTGGCCACCTATCCGGCTATGATCAAATACTTATAAGTGGTCAAAGACGAGGCTGGGACACTTGATGAATTTCATCTTCCTCAAGTGCCCAGATTAGAAAACGTTCTAGCGGATAATCTCTCTAAGCTGGCATCATCCGCCTCTTGTGATACGCCTAGGTTAGTATTTTGGGAAGTTATGGAAAAAAGGAGTATTGAAAAAGACCTTATTGGAATCTTGGACTGAAGCTCAACTTGGATGGATGGCATCCGGGCTTATCTAGTAGACGGCACTCTGTCGAATGTATCTTCAGGAGCGGCTGCAATGAAAAAACGTGCCGCAAGCTTTGAGATTCATAAGGGAGAAATTTTCAAGAAGGGTTATTTGCAGCCGCTATTGAAATGTGTCACCCTAGAAAGGGGGAAGGAGGTACTAGAGGATCTGCACTCAGGTTTTTGTGCATCACACATAGGTGGCAGGTCTCTAGCAAAAAGGGCATGGCGGCAAGGTTATTTTTGGCCCACTCTTGAGGCAGACGCCATGGAAATGGTGAAGAAGTGTGACAAGTGCCAAAGATTTTAGAAATCAAGAAATGGGTCAAAAAGGATTGCTAAGGGAAAGAGAAGAAGGATGAATTGGATTTTAGAAATCAAGAAATGGGTCAAAAAGGGTGAAAAATTCAGGAAAGGCTGGAAAGGCCGCTGGTAGCGGCTTGGGACCCGCTGCCAGCGGCTAAAGCAGAGCTTTTGGATCTTCTTTGCTGGAAGACCCGCTGGCAGCGGCTATACTGCGTAAATTTTTTTTTTTTTTTTTTTTTTTTTTTTTTTTTTTTTTTTAGAAAAAATAAACGTGGAGGGGGGGTACCCGCTGGCAGCGGCTTTTGAGCAGCTACCAGCGGCTGGGACAGCAAAAGGGGAGGTTGGGCTGCTGGAAGACCCGGTGGTAGCGGCTGCAGAGCAGCTGCCAGCGACTACTGCAGGGATAGCCCCCCTTTGGCCTGTTTTGCTCTGTTTTTGCTGCTCTTCGCGCATAACAAATACTCCCAAGGCATCCACCTACACAAACACAATAAAAATACTCTTCACATCACAAGAAAAATAAAAAACTAAACTACAAGAAGAAATGGGGAAGATTTTCGATCGGGTTGCCTCCCGATTAGCGCCTTTGTTTTACGTCGTTGGCTCGACGCGGCTCATCCCACTTCGCTACTCCATTGATGGCTCGTAGAGATCGATGCACTCCACGTTCTCGGTTTTGAAACCCTCGAAGTAGGGTTTGAGCCTTTTTCCATTCACTTTGAACATGTTGTTGGTCTCTAAACTCCGAATTTCTACCGCTCCATGCGGATAGACCTTGTCAACTTGAATTGGACCCTTCCAACGGGAGCTCATCTTGTCATGCCACACCTTATTCTTTGCTTTGTGGTATACCTGGGATAATTTCTTGCCCGGAAATGATGACGGGGTGGGTGTTGCCCCTAGTGGTATAGGTGGAAGCTTGGACTGTTCATTCAATTCCGCCACCTTCACCTGCACATTAGTAGGTATAGAAGAATCCAAGCAATCACCAGACACAACATTAGTAATAGGTGTGAGGAGCTCATCCCCATGATCAATGTTAGAAACATCATGCAATATTGGATCGACAACATTTATAGAATATAAAGAATGAGTATCAACAGGATACTTTATGGTATCATAAATGTTATACACAATTGCTTTCCCATCAACCTCCATAGTCAAAGAACCGGTAGACACATCGATTTTTGTCTTAGCAGTCTTTAAGAAAGGTCTTCCTAACAGGATAGGGGCTGCTTGTTTGTCATGTTCCATGTCAAGGACGTAAAAGTCAGCAGGAAAGATCAATCCATCAACCTTAACAAGTACATCTTCTACTACCCCCTTAGGATATACATTGGACCTATCAGCTAACTGAATTACTACCCCAGTTTCATGCAAAGGCCCAAGTTCTAAAGATTTAAACAGGGAGTAGGGAATGACATTGATTGATGCACCTAGATCCAACATGGCTCGGTGTAATGTGGTGTCTCCTATTGTAACAGGAATAGTAAACATACCAGGATCACCACATTTTTCTGGGAGTTTCTTTTGGAAAACTGCAGAAACATGAGCACTCACCTTCACTTTTTCTTTTCCTCCCAACCTGTGCTTTCTCTTGATCGTACACAGTTCCTTCATAAACTTAGCAAAACGAGGAACACTTTTAATCACATTCAAGAGGGGCATATTTACCTCACATTTGCTGAAAGTCTCATAAATATCCTTGTCTTTCTCATACCTTCGAGTATCTTGCAAGGCTTCTGGGAAAGGTGGCACAGGCTCATAAGAGGTAAAGGTTGGAGGATTCGCCTTAGTTTCTTGTTCTACTTCCTCCTCCTCAACTCCAATCAAGTCTTTAGCCTTCTTAGGTGCAACTACAGTTTCTTGCAACTTTTTTGCCACTTCTCAATGTTATTGCATTAACTTGTTGCTTAGGGTTCAGCTCCGTTTGGGATGGAAGCTTTCCAGAGTCCTTAGCTTCAAGTCGGCTTACTGCACTTGAGATTTGACTGACTTGATTCTCCAGGTTTTGAATACTTGATCTGGTTTCTTGTTGAAACTGCATCATATTCTGCTGCATGGTAGAAACATTAGAAGTTAGTGATCTAATCATTTCTTCAGTTGACATATTACCTGAATTAGAGCTTTGGCCTTGAGGTGTTAGGAACGGTGCCCTATATTGCTGAAACTGTTGTTGACCTTGAGCATGCTGATGTTGTTGGTTTCCTTGGGAATTCCCATATCTCAAATTTGGATGATCTCTCCATCCTGGGTTGTAGGTATTTGAAAAGGGATCATATCTTCTTTGCGGACCTTGCCCTTGAAAACCTAAGGCGTTGGCCTGCTCATTCTGCTCCTCTTGTAATTGAGGACATGTATCAGTGGGATGTCCCATGGAGGTGCATAAACCACAAGCATTCAGTTGCTGCGGATTCCTTGAGTTCACCATGAACTCACGCATCATAGAAGTCAAATCAGCTACTTGACTCTCTAACTCAGTTGTATTCGAATTTGCTAAATTCACCCGGCGCGTGGGAGTTCTCTGACTGAATTGCCTAGAATTTTCTGCTAGCTCTGCAATCAACCTAGTTGCATCTCCTGGAGTCTTATTCACTAGCCCTCCACCACTTGCTGCATTCACCATCCTCAAGTCATCATCAGTTAGACCTCCATAGAAGTATAGGATGAGGTCTTGATCGGAATACCCATGGTAAGGACAGCTAGCACACAATCTCTTAAATCTCTCCCAATACTCATACAAGGATTCATCTTCCTTCTGATCCACATTGCTGATAGCTTTCTTAAGGCTTGCAGAAATAGTGGCTGGGTAGTACTTCTCAAGGAAACACTTCCTTAAATCTGCCCAAGTTGTTATGCTACCTGGGGGAAGATAGTAAAACCAATCCTTTGCTGCATCTTTGAGAGAAAAAGGAAATGCTCTCAACTGAATTTGTTCATCAGTCATCCCAATCGGTTTCATGCTAGTGCAAACCACATGAAATTCTGCCAGATGTTTATTCGGATCTTCGCCTTTCATGCCATGGAATGCCGGCAATAGATGAATTAGACCGGATTTGATCTCAACATTAGTACCTTCCTCCAACTGCTGGTATGCAATGCACAACGGTTGTTGGTTCAAGTTAGGGGCTGTAAGTTCTCTTAGAGTTCGATTGTCAGCCATCTCCTCTTCTTCTTGAATATTGAAGGAGTACGTTGATTCACTAGGGGTTGTTTTTGCCTCTTTTCGCAACCTGGAAATATTCCTTTCAATTTCTGGATCAAACTGCAAAACTTCTTTGTTAGCAGAACGGGTACTTATCATACCCTAGCGAACAAACAAAGAAAGATAGCTAAGAACAGTCCTAAAATAAATTCTACTAAGATAAACAATTAAAAAGTAACGCCTTAATTCCCCGGCAACGGCGCCAAAATTTGGTGTGCCTCAGTCGTATGCAACCAAAAATATCACAACTAAGCTAACTGCAAATAAACGTAGTTAGGGAAGTCGAGTTCGAATCCACAGGGAAAAAGGGACTAATAACTGGAAACCTAAGTGGAAATACTCTAGGACGGTAGTAACCTAAGTAACGAGGGGGGTTTTCACGAGCAATGATGATAAATGAACTAAGTAAGAACAACGAACGTAATGAATAGGTAATCAATGAGAAGAACGGTCTTGGTTATGCGAAATCCACTAATGAACATACAAATTGATCATAGAAGTCTCCTCAATCAAGCTCTATTGAACACCTTGTTGTAGAATTCCTAGATTCTAAATTCTCATAAATAGTTAGAAATAGCAAAGCGCTCCTTTCTAACCCTTTCCAATGCACAATTCAAGACAAGCGCTCTAAATTATCCACAAGAAGAAAATAAACGGAGAAATCAACAAGGATTGAATAAATTAACACAAGCGGTCTAATTTCTTCAATAATATTATTCCCTCTTCAAGTTATCAACCAAAAGCATGCATCAATAACCTAAAGTTGCTACTTTGGAAAGATTAATTAGATGCAAGCGAATCCAATAATTCTAACCTAGCAATTGATTAAAGCAAATCATGAAATTAATTCAAGGAACAATATATATTCAATAGATATTAAGAGAAGAAAGATCTCACAATTCGTAGCTAAAAGCTTCAATCTTTAACCAAGAATCCGGAAGATTAAGCTTCCATGGATTCTAATTCCAAAACAAAGAATTCTGAAAATTCCAAGAAAACCCTAGAAAGCTTTTTTTTCTCAAAACTTAATTCTCCTTTTCTTCTTCAAACTTAATTAAAACTAAGCTATTTATATGTTTCTATATTTTAATAACATAACACAATAATAATAATAAAATAATATCCAAAACACGAGCCAAAACAAAGCCAAATTGCTGAAAATTAACCAAAACAGCCCGAATTTCTGCCAGAGCCGCTGCCAGCTGCTCTGGACCCGCTGGCAGCTGCTCTGGCAGCCCCTCACTCTGGTATACCCGCTGCCAGCGGCTCTGGCCAGCTGCCAGCGGCCCTGGCAGCGGTTCCTGCTGTTTTTGCCTTCTTTCCTTGCTTCTTCTTCTTGCTTTGCTTCACCTTTTCCTCAAGCTTTCTTCCTTGCTCTTCCATGCTCCATCACAACTCTCAAATCACGAGCCAAGGTCCATCCTTCTTACATAACTCTTCATTGGTTCCCGAGCTCACTCACTCACTTATACTCATAAATCCCGCCTTTTGCACATAAGTGAGATCACAGCCCAAAACTCACAAAAGCTAACAAAAGTACATATAAAGCATCAAAACACACCCTAAAATGCTTCTCTCAACCCATGATAAGAAGGCTTATCAAAGCTCATACACCGTCCAGCTACTGATCTGACGGCTATTCTTGAGGCAGACGCCTAGTGCCATTTGCCAAATGGGGCATGGACATTTTGGGCCCGTATACGCCTGCTACAGGCGAACGGCGATATGTTCTAGTCTTTGTTGACTACTTCACCAAATGGGTAGAAGTAGAGGCGGCTAAAGGCATAAAGACAAAGGATGTTATCTCCTTCATTTAGAGGAATATTATCACCTGGTTTGGGGTACCTATTTCTATGGTCTTTGACAATGGCCCTTAGTTTGAGACGCCTACCCCCAAGAATTGGTTGGGAGATCAAGGGATCTCACATTGCTTTGCATCAGTCGGCTACCTTCAAGAAAACGGCCAGGTTCAAGGCTTCAACAAGCTTATCTCATACGACATTAAGAAGAAAATTGAAAGGGCTAGCGGTCTATGGGCAGATGAGTTGCCTCATGTCCTATGGGCCATCAGAACAACTGAAAAAGGGGTAACCGGTGAAACCCCATTTCTTTTGACATACAATGCAGAAGACGTCTTGCTAATTGAGCACTATGATCCAACCCTTCGAGTCATGCTTTTTGACGAAGAGGTTAACTGGGAGGCCATGTGGCTAGCATTGGACTCACTCCCGGAGAGCAAGGGCAATGCCGCTTTGCGTCATGAGATTTACCGTCTAAGAATGACAAGAGCCTACAACAAAAGAGTACACAAACGGCCCTTGAAAGTAAGGGACTTTGTGTTACGGAAAATGGAGGCAATCGGTAAGGCAAATGAGCAAGGAAAGTTGACTCCAAATTGGGAAGGCCCCTACCGAATCTATGAAGAAGTACGAGGCGGCACCTACCGCCTGGAAACTCCTGACGGCAGGAAGCTAGCCAGAACTTGAAATGTAGACAACTTAAAAAAGTACTACTTGTTAAACTTTAAAAAATTTCTAAATAAGTTTATCAATGAAAAGTTGTTCTATATTTTCAATCATATTTATTGCTTTTTGTATAAAATACCGTCTGTGCAATGTGTAGACGGACTTGTTAAAATTTTAAGTCTGCTCCCACATGAGTAGATGTAAGCTAAGTCTAAAAACATAGCAGCTAATGAGGCCAATGGTCGGATGACATTAATAAGGCCAATGGCTGGATAATACTACAAACCATTGCCTGCTCCAACATGAGTGGGCATCCGACAACGCCCATCCGGGTGAATTAGCCGCAAAGAGCATCTCCCATTTGGGTGGTACATTGCTCTATAAACTTAAAAACGAACGACCCTACCGACTGTCCGGATAAGGATAATTCCCAGTTGTTCGAATGATCAAGTGAGACCTAATTATCATTGGTCACCGCCTGTAATGTAACAAACGGTGACCAGTAACCAGTGACCATCTTGGTTAGATATAACCTGTTGTTGCTTAAAAGCCTTACAAACAGGTAAATTGAAAGATCTAAGCTAAGTTAGAACCTTAGCAGCTAAAACATTGCTCGTTTGAGGTAACTACACACGACCAATGGTCGTCTGCTACTAAACGTTAATTTGTCTTCTCTAAGAGCAAGACATCCGGCGAAGCCCATCTGGGTTAACTCGTCGTAGGAAGCAACCGACAAAGACTAATTAATCCCAGGACAAAATCACAGCCGGTTGACCAGAATAACCTAAGATGGAACCTAGATGTCATAGCAAAAGTCGTCTGTCATTCCAACTTAGAATTAAATTTTGAAAATCGATTCAGATACAGTCAATGACCGTCTAACGTTCAAACTGGATGCTCAGTGGACGAATGTCCGCTTGGGTTGGGGCAATCACCTTGGTGATTGATTGACCCAAAACATTAGCTATACCCTTTTTAAAATCAGGCGCACATCCGTGCAGGGGCAAATACATCTGGTGCTGATAAGTGGCATTTATGCCACTATTTAGATCCTCTAATTGCGGTATTTTTCTACGTTTGTCCCTTGTTTGTACCCCTTTTGCTCCGTTTCTCCCTTTATTATGTTTTTGTGCTTTTCCTCGTGTTTTGTAGGCTTTTGGAGTTGATTTTAATAGAATGAAGAGCTTGGAGAATTGGAGTTCATTTGAAGAGCTACAAAGGAAGTTAAGGAGCAAGCAAGCAAGGCCATACGGACAGCGCGGGTCGTGCTTTCAGAATGGCGCGGGTGCGCCAAACCAAGCGCGGGCGTGCCTAACATTGGGGTTGAAAATATTGAAGGAGGCAGAATGTAGGCGCGATTTGGGCGCGGCTTAGGCGCGGGCGCGCCTAAGATAGGCGCGGGCGCTCCTAAGATAGGCGCGGGCGCTCAAGGGCCTGAACTCCGAAACTAACCTTTGTTCACTCTTTTAGCCATAACTTTTTATATACAAATTGGATTGAGGTGATTCAAATTGCATTGAAAACTAGACTTGAAGTTCTTTCCAAAGGTAGGTCGCACGCCCCCAGAAGCCTCCTAGAACAGAAGTTATTGCCGTTTGAAAACGAATGTTGCTGTCAGGCCAATCCCAGTGCGCGGCCGCGCAGGCCTCTATCGCGGGCGCGCACGAGCAGCTACGGGTCTTTTAAATGCTTCTTCCTCTCCTCTTTTTGGCCAAGTTTTGATGGTGGGTTTCTTTGGGGTTTTCTCTCTCCTCTTTGAGGGGTTAAATCCTAACATCTCTCCATCAATCTTCACATAAATTAGGCTTAGATTTAGTTTTAATCTTTGTTTTTATACTTTGCAATGTAGATTAAGAGTAATTTAGGGTATTTAGAGAGAGAAAGTGAAGAGCTTCGATGGTGGATTGAAGAAGATGAAGATGCAAAGTGACATTGTTTTGGATTCCTTTTCAATAC